GTCTTCCCTCCACAGGCCATCATTGAAAGCGTAATTTGGCACGAATTATAGATGAAGTACCCTTTCTTCGGAGAAAGGTTAATTTTTCGTTGCTTCGTCTACCATGCAGCTGCTCTCCAAGCTGAACGGTAAAGTTGACCATTTTTTTATTTTTCTTGTGCTTCGAAGGTCTCATGAAATTTCTTTTCTCCGTCTCTCTCCTCCCTTGAAAACCACCGCGCAGCCACTTTAATAGCTGGCACGTTTTTTGAAAATTTGTCGAAGAAGGTAATCAGTAGGAAGCCCAGCCCAACAACCCGAACAGAGAAATCTTCACGGGAAGGGGTTTCTCGACTACTAGAAGAGCCAGCAAGTGAAGTTCAACCATTCGGCCTCCAAGGCCACTCCTATGGGTCAACAACTCTCCACAGACGTAAACAAGGGGGGCACTAGCCTCGAATCGAGGCGCAACTCGACCATATAGAGCTTCCTATCCAACGATTAATCCCCCCTCCTCACAAATTCGCTGTAGAACCTTTCCCTGCTAGAGATGTCACAGCAACCGGGGTCCTGATTAAGTAAAACTCCATATGGTGTAACATCCAACAAGTCATCCGACATGTGTTTTTTCGCTTGGGCGAAAGAATTTCGGAGGTGCAGTAATCCTCTGATAAGGGATCCTGAGAATGAATTCTAAGCCGACGGTTGGGATGAGAAAATTTTCAGAACCAGTGAATAGTTAGTCAACACAAACGAATTTGGGACATTAAAAATTAAACTATTACATAACAATATAATTCATTAAAAATGTCAGCACTATATAAATTGTTTCTTCAGAAGCATTTTAAGTATATACACTCATTATCCAGATTGAGTTTCAATTGTTATTGATTTATCTTACCACCAGTCAGAAAATATGTATTCGACAATTTAAAAGAAAGAGGGACAAAAATTAAGTTACCTTAAGTAAAAAAATTAACACACTAAAAGTGCAGCAACAAAACTTAATTAAAATAATTAAAGTTAAAAGTTAAACAACCTTAAGAGTCAAAAACAAAAGTACAAAAACCAAGTAAACGTAAGTCCCTAAACTGAAATTAAAAACTAAACAACTTAAGAAAACTTTTAAAGCAATCAAACCTAAATTTAAAGTTTACAAAAGTTACATTTTAACTTACAACCACTTTAAACAACTAAAAAAAATTAAGAACAATTACAGATCAAAACTGAAATAGTAAGCAAAACTTAAGCTTGAAAATAATAAAAATTAATACAAAACATTTGCTAGAATCACCGTGTTGTCGGCATACATGGGAAGTATAGTGTAAGGTGTCAGTGGTATGTCGTTCATATAAAGTAAGTAGATCGGACAGACCAAAGACCCTTGACGGACGCCAGCATAAATGCGTCTTGTGTGGAATATGTGTTAGCGAACGACAAATTTTCTCTCGTGATGTTTATGATGTATTCTGGGAAACCCAGGGTGAAATGTTTGTAGATTAATCCGTCTAGCCAAAGTCTATCAAATGCTTTCGATATATCGAGAAAAAGTGCTCCTGTGCTTTCTCCTTTATTCAACCCTTCAGCGATGAATTCTGTGACTATGTACAGCTGGTGGGTAGTAGCATGTTTCCTTCGAAAACCATGCTGCCGAGGAATTAGGATATTTTTCAGGTTGATGTGTTCTAGTATTCTGTCTTGGAATCACGGCTTCTGACATTTTGCTGAGCTTAGAGAAAAGGCTTATTGGGCGATATGAAGCAGGGTCGTTTACTGGCTTTAATAGCTTCGTTACTGGTATGATCACAGCAGTTTTTCACACATTAGGAAAATAATTTAGAGTCAGTATATGATTTAAGATGTTGGTGAACTTGAACAGCATCACGTGCAGCTTATGTCACGGACAGCTTATGTCAAATTAATTTAGTGATCCAACTTGTTCAATTATGAATGATTGAACTTATGATCTGGACGTTTTATATTTGTAAATCTCTACTGTTAATTTACTTTAAAATTTTGCCTTATATTTTATGTTAGTTGAATCCCGAAAGCTGCATACATAAATTCAATAAGCGCAAATTTTGCATTCGTTAAGCTTCAAGTTTTATGTAACGAGGAAAGGGGGGTTGTTTTAAACTTTCTTTTGAATCTATAGTTACTTTATTAGATGAGGTGATAAGATGTCGACAGTCTTACTAAGAAGCAAAGTTAATTAAAGAATAGTGCCACACAACCTGTTGAAACGAATGGTAAAATTGGCGTTAAGTAATAATTATTACTTTAAATAAGATTAAAACTATGCAACCAAGAAAATAACTTTCAGTAGTTTTCCAATCTACTCCTATTAGGTGTATAACATTATAATAGTTCCTATAATAGTCGGTAAACTTACAATACGAAGATTTTAAAATGTCAAGGACAACATATGGCTGTGCATTTGCCATAAGAAGCTTTTCAATGCTAAAACTGGCTAAATATATGTTCAAGAATAGGTGAAAAAGAAAGCAAGAGTTAAATGAAAGTTACAAAATGCCTGCGTTCTAAGAAGTACTTAGTTCTTAGAAATGCGAAAATGAGCTTAAAAATTCAGCTTAAAAATAACTCTGAAAGTATTTTATGCTTGCTAACCAATTATTATGATTTACGCCTTTACTATAACTTCTCTTGTCTGTGTTTCTCACCAGAATGCAGTTTAGTTGTGTGTATTTAAGATGCGAGTTTTTAATGCTTAGATATGAGGGGGGCTTCCAGTAGCCACCGTGTTTTATTCCTTACTCTCCATAATTCTGCTTAAAACTGTATTCCAGTTTTTACGTCTTGCTAGATTGACGTTCTAAAATACACGCCGATAATTACCTGGGTCAACATAAAGAGGCTATTTTAGAAAGTAATCTCAGCCTACATTATCTACATTGAAATTTTAACGTTCTGTTTATGTTCTCTTAAATACGTTCAAGATAGCGAATGTTCTTTATAGCACTAGCCTTGCCCTTTCTGTTCAATTTAAATAAAAATTTTATTTCAACCTTCTTTAGATTTTGTGTTATTTAGTTGTTTCACATTTAGCTATAACACGCTAGTAGTCTATTAGGGCCTGCAGGACTTAAACTCTGTCTTCTACACACAGTAAAACCCTATAACTGTAGTGGTTATCTTTCGCTAATAATTGTAAATGTTTGAGAAATTACAGCTTTTCGACAGTTTTTTTCCCATATGGAACAATTTTCACTTTTTTAGGAGCTTGAAATTCAGTGTCATACATTAATTTTCGGATGCTCATGTTTTTCAGTTTTATTTGCAAATATTATTTAATAAATATTAGCAAAATGACTTTATTTTTCTTTCACACATGCAACAATCACTCGTTTTAAAACCTGCTTACTTTTTTAAAAAATATTTTTCCATAAATATTTGGTAAAAAAAAAGTTCTGAAAATGAACTCACGTAAGTATTCAAACACTTTCAACAAGCAGTTTATATTTAATGAAAAAAATTGAAAAACAGGGCTTTCAGTTCGATATCCTATAATTAAAACTACACTCTTCAGGCGCTTTGGATGGATTTAAATAATTTTTTTCGTGTAAGAATATTCCATTTTGCCATATTGCATGTACATCCGTAAAAACTGCTTTGAAGAAATATCGTATTTCCTTATTCTTTTCTCCAATTCACTCCAAACATGTTAGGTAGAATTTTAAGTCCTGAGAATTCGAGGATTTTTGATTAAGAGGAGTTTGAAAGGTTGTACTATAACCATAAGCAAATATTTAGAGTTATGTATTTAGGATCGGTATTCTAATAGTCACTGAATGTGTTTGACATTTAAAGTTCTCTTCCAGGTACTTTCAAGTTTTTATTAAGTATATTTTTCTCATTCAAGCTTTTACTCGAGATTCCTCTCATAATAATTTGTTCATCGGACCCAAATATATTAAATTTTGACTCGTCTGCAAACATATAATAATCCGCGTGTATTTTACCTGTAATCTAGTAGACGAAAAATCTTCTGGTTGCTGATTTTCAATTGATATTTTGATTTAACAGTTTTAGGATTAACATTTATTGAAAACTGTTCTGAACACCCTGCAAGTTCTATGGCATTAAATTTTGGTTTTTGTTTGACTTTATTTGGTCTGAAGTCTACAGCACATTCTAGTATAATATCGGAAATTTTCGGATAAAATAGGAGATTTTTCCTAGGATAAAGGAATTGGAGATTATCCTAGGATATATCTCTGATTCCTTCATATTACCTTGGAATGTGTTCCAGATTTGGCTGCATTTGGAACAATTCCACGTAGTTCCCATGTTTCAAATAACATCAAAAATAGTTAAACGCTTTACGCTGAAGATATTTTAGATATTTCGAATACTTTTATCAGCTTTAAAATGAATTTAAACTAAAAAATTGCAAATTTGTAATAGAATATTTCGTTAATTTTGTCATGACTTGTTTACATTAAATATATAATTATTGATCTATTTTGCTAAACAAGTAATAATTTTCCTATGCAGACGAAAATTCGTATGATATAATATCATTTAAAGCACAAAATTGTGACAAAGAACATCGTCTTCCAAAACATCTCAGCGAAACGTTTCGCGTATCCGAATTATTTTGTGAGTTTATGTTAAACTCTTCTTAATTAAACTATTTTATTATTCGATATATTTTGTTGATTTTTTTTAATAAACAAGGCTTAAAATAGAGAAGAAATAATATATTAGAAAAACCTTTGAAGTCTGTGTTTTAATATTTAAGCCAGTATAATTTGATCTGGATCATACAAAAATCTGATGAAAAATACTGTTTCTTTTTCTTTTAAATAAAAGTTCTTGTTCTTAACTATCTATAATAGTCTGAAATAATAGTTGGTACATTACTGTTATTTTTCTCTTAAGCACATTTTAACTTTCTTTATCTGCAGAAAACTGATGCATCATAATTTTCGGCATGCACGATTTAACCTATTAAAAAATATAAAATTGCTTCTCATTTGTTTTTACATAAACATTGTCCATACAGCTGAAATTAATGCTTTATTAACTATGGCAAATGAGAATGATACATATTGAAAAGTTTGAAAACCTTGAACCAACATAAACACATTCCATATCAAGCATGCTTCATAGAGAAGGTATTTTTCATTCTTTCCATTTAGTATGGAACCGGAACCACAGGAGCGTAGCCCATTCCCATTCCCATTCCATAGGGCCTCATAGCCATGGGAGCCATTGGGTAGCCCATCGGCATATATTGTGGTGCTGCTTCAATCATAGAAAAAGCGAAGAGACCCAGAAGCAAGATAAACTGTAAAACAAAATACATAGTTAGCATTTTGTCTGACTGCTGTGAACTGCATTAATAAACTATCATACCACAATTTTATCAAAAGTAACTGCTCTCAAAACATTTATCTTAAATGTTCTATAATTTATCCAATCGCCGCCATTTTAATAGCAGAAATTCGTTCTGAAGAAATATTGAAGATATAAGATTGCAAAGCAAACTTAGTCAAAAAAGTTTTTAAGTCATTTATTTGAAACGTAACTGAAAGCTTGCAGAATTCAAAGAATTTCTAACAGATCAGAGCCCAGAAGCGGCCGAGCGGCAAAGTTGCTGAACGTTGGTAGTTCGGTCCGAGAATCGTATCCCGCGAACCGGCTGCTTCATGGGCGTTTTTGTGATTTTGCCCATGTGCATAGTGTATACGAGTCAGTTTCCCTCACAAAGTCGTCCGCGAAAGCATCCCTCCCTTTAGGCAAATAGCCCTCGAGGCGTTGCAATCATTCACATAAACATAAAACTAACGGAATATATTTTCGAATTTCTTTCGCAACTGAACATCAGGTTCGTTACCCACATTACATCAAAGTGCGCAGAATTCTCGGTGAACTTAGTTATATTGCTTGTTAACATACTTTTTCCTCTGCAAAGTTACCGTAGGAAATTTTATGACAGTAGTCTAACACTAACGATGACAATAGGTGTCTGCAAAAATGGAATGGAATTTTTTGTGTAATTTCCTTAAAATTATATTAAAGATTATTATATTAAAATACTTCAATCCTTAAAATTATAGTAAGGAAATATAATAATATTATTTATATATTTATTTTCCTTACTTTTTATAATTTGAATTTAATAATAATTTTAAGGAATAATAATTTAATTAATCAATTATTAATAAAAATTATTAATATTAATAATTTAATTTTATATTTTTAAGGAATTAATTTATAATTTTAATTATAGTAAGAGAAGTATTAAATATTTATTATGCTTTAATCAATTAAGATTAAAAAAAAGTTATACATTTTTATGAGTGCTTTATATTTGAAAATTCTGATGTTTAATAATGAAGTTTTCCTAGGTTGGTTTCATAATGCTTTTTACGGCCATGGTTTAGGATTTTTCAGAGTCAATTTAGAGAAAATAATAAAGAAATAAGAACGTAGAATAATGGAAATATTTGTTTTAAAACGAGCAACTGGTCCCCCACGATATTTAATCGGCATATCTCTGCGAAATTTGCATATAAATGACAGAATTTTCTACTCTTAATTAAAGCAGAATGAATATTTTAATAAATGAAATTTTTTTTTATGTTTATCAAAGAGGGATCTAAAATTTTATTTTTATAAAATTTTCCTGTTCAAAGAATTTAAACTTTTTTTTTTTTTTTTTTTTTTTAAATCTATGTATTTTATTTTAGAAATTGTTCACAACTGCAGAAAAAACAAAAGTACAGAATTTCTTAGGATGGATAATTAGTGGAATAAGGAAAGTTATCCCTTTAGAAAACTTAACATACATGAGTAAACGTTTATCATTTCTACTTATACTTTTCTGATTAAACGTCTCCACTGTGTGATATATTCTCTGATGCTTTTGTCTCAAAAGAAGTGAAATCCCACGAGGCATGTTCCATGCATGATATGTATGCCTTCCAGCAAAATGGCAGAGAATTATAGGAACCTGCTTTTATGTTCCTCTTCATAACTTCAAGAAGGGGAAAAGAATCACTCCCTTTTAGTGCCTCCAAAATACCCAGGCTCCATTTACTTTTTTATCACTATGAAATTTCCAATTTCCGAATTTGAATGCTTGCTTTCATGAATTTCAACAATCACAACAGCACCTCCAATCACATTATTTTCACTCACGTGCATTTCTACTGACACTTCTCTGCTAAATTTCTTCCATATGTGTTACATTACATGGTATATCTCCCGCCTTCTTAGCATGCCTTCGCGGTGTAGTGAGCAACACGCTCGAAGCGTATTCTTTGACGTACGACATTGCTCATTTTTCATCTCTCCAGTTTCAAATAAATGCTAATGTCTCTACAACATATCGCCAAAACTTCAATCTCAAATGAAATTAAATCACAACTGGCCAGTCCTACGCAGAAACCTTTTAAGAAGATCCACAAGCCTTCCGTAAATTTTGTGTGAACCGTAAGAACAGAGCCTTACATATCATATTATGACTGAATGAAAGACAATTACACGAATTATAAATATCTGAGACATTTACAGGACCTTGCCTTACATTTTTTCTGTATAACACCATAAAGAGTTTCCTTCATTCTTTCCAGAACCTCAAAAAATATTTAAAAAAAAATGTCAGTGTTCATTTAAGTGCCTGGAAATACTCAGGTTCTATCCACTCTCTTGTAACGACTAAATTTTACCTTTTCAAGTTCGTTTCATCAATCTTAAAAATCACACTACAACCTCCGATCATGCTGGTTTTGTACACACACATCACACATTCCTACACATAACTCTTTGAAAAATATATTAAATCTTAACTCGGATGAAACATAAATATGTGAAACATCTCTGCGAGTATTCGTGTTCTAGATAAGAACTTCTCAGAGATGGCGGCACCCGGGAAATCCTTCGCAATCCATCTTATTTAGAAAGTAGATCAATATTTCGTACTTTCATCAAGCACCCGGTATCTTTTATACATAGTAGAAGTACTTTTTTCCAGAATATTACTTTTAAAATCTTTATGATTTTTAATCAAATCTGGCTCACTTCGCCAAACATTTCATAGCATAGTTTCGATATTCTTCATTCTTTCCTTTCCGTTTTCCAGAGAGAACCGTGAAAAATGTTTATGATTTGTTTTTAAGCTGAAACGGGTATTATTTAAAACTGTAAAATGTTTTTAATAGACAAAAATTAGAAATATGTTATCTGTAAATAATTTGACAAATTAGAATTGAATACTAAAAGTGTAGAGCAAACTGTAGAACTTCTAAGCAGAAAAGAGATGCAAAGATGTCTATCTCTGGAATCGCATTAAAAGAGTTTTTTTTTTGAGTGGATATAATTATCTTAAATTACTAAAAGTTATCTAAATTAGTCCCATCTATGATTTTATTGACAGCTAATTATTTCCTAAGCAAAACCAATCACCAGAAATTCACCTTACTTGTCCTGTCAATTTTGTAATTCCAATAATAGGATATTAATGCAGCTTATATTTTTCTTCGGCTCTCATCTTTCATTTTTAATCCAAAGGGGCTTTGTCCCTGAGGGACTATTGCTTTCGTTTTTCGATTTTGCGTCGAATCACTATGAATGTCCGTTTGCTTTTTAAACTGTTGCCACCCAATATTATCGCCCTGTGTTATATTTAAAGAAATGAAATAATAATCTGCAGAAATGTATGTATGTTTCTCGCATTGTGATAAAACAACGGTACCTAGAGTCGTCCAATTTTGAATGACGTAATTCTGCTGCGATTAAGGGCATCTGGAAGCCCAAATAGGAAATGTGGATTTTGGTTTATTATCGATTTCATATTTTGTAAAACTTCAACGAATTTTTGGTTAACAAAATCAAGGATTTCAAAGCGAGCAATGGCAGCGCCATACAGAAAAAACATTTTTATCTCCAGCGCGTGAGAATGTGCATCGGAAATTCTAAAGTTATCTCAATTTAAAATTATTTTGCGATATTACTCTTGAACTGAGTTTTATGGTTTAAGTTCAAAGGACATGGTATTTAATAAATAAAGGTAACACACAGAATGTTAAAAAAAAACGCCCCTTTGGACGCAATTTAAAATCTGAAAACCTTCAGATTCAAAAGAAACAAGACAAAGTTATACCTCAAAGTTAACGTTTTCGTTCGTATGTACAACCATTGACAGTTTTCTATTCTAATTTTATGTAAACCGAATGCGACTCATACATTTTGATAATCTGAAATACCTCGAAAGTATTTAAAATGCTCGGAAGCAATTTTTACTTCCTTGTACGAAGTAAAGAATGTATTCTAAACGCGACAAATTTCGGGTAGCGTATTTAAAAGAAAAATATCCATTTTCATTGCTCTCGATTCCATTTAAACGATGTTTTTCTATTACATCTGTACAGACGGACAGAATAAAAGCCTCGTTTCTCCCAATCCGATCGGGAAATAAATTTAAAATGGATTCAAAAGAGATTTTTTTTCGTGACGTCCGTCCGTACGTACGCACGCGCATATCTTGCACAACTCAAAAACGAGTAGCATCGGAACGTTGTAGTTTTGTATACCGGATTGCTGTAACATGTGGATGTGCACCTCCCTTTTCTGTTGCAATAGGCGGCACCAAAAGTACATATAGTATGTGTGTATACCCACTCTGTTACGCGGCTCGGTGAGCTAAGATTTTATACTTATAAGTTGGTAAATTGTGAATTTTTTGCTTTAAAAATGATTGAATTATGTTGTTTTTATCTTCTGGTTAAGGTTTATTCTGGTTAAGGTATATAAATATATTTATATACGTTTGGTGCGGCCGATTGCAACGAAAATACGAGGTGCACATCTAACATATTATAGCCGTCCTATATACAAAATTTCAACGTTCTGAGGCTACTCGTTTTTGAGTTATGCGAGATACGTACGCGTACATACGTTCGTACAGACGCCACGAAAGATTCTCTTCAGAATTCATTTTAAAGCAGTTTTATAATTTTTTTTTGGAGGAAAAGAGTGTTTTATTCTGTCCTTACGTACATATATCACGGAAATACATCGTTAAATTGCGTTTGAAAGAGATCAAAATGGTATATTTTTGTTGAAATATGCTGCCTGAAACTTTTAGCGATTACAATGCTTCCTTTTTACTTCGTACAAGGAAGTAAAAAGGATAAAATTTAACAATGGTTTTCCTGCCCAGTTAAAAAACGTTTATTTTATTGCAAATGAATGAATTCTTGGGGGTCTGTGTGAATTTAAGAGAGCAGCTTGATACGTCTATAAAAGTTATGTGCTAAAGAAGAGGCCCGTTTGAGAGTCATA